AGGAGATCTAGGAGATGTGATATATAATTTTATGAGTGTTAATATATATTTACATTTCATCCAAAAAAAGAGAAGAGGAAAATGTATGTTTGTTTTCCGAAAAAGAAAATTAATACTCCGTATGAGGTAGTATAATAAACAAGAATTTCTTTGAAATTGAAAATGACCAATGAGTATTACGGATACAACAAGACAAAAAAAAGTTGGCGCGTACTATTGAGTACCGACGGATGGCTAAGGTGCTGATCTTTCGTTTTTGATAAATTATTTGATAAGCTCAAATTCATTTTGTTGACCACTTGTTTGATAAGCTCAATCTTATATGATTAATGATTGGATTAGTCGACAGATCAGAGTTATTGTTTAAATTAGACGGTCAACTTTTACTAAAATTCACAGTTCTATTTTTATTTAATGCATGCATCCACCTCGAGAAGCCACATTCATTTCTAAAATTAATTTACTAACTTTCCAATTAATTTTACCAAATACTCCGTACCATATACTAGTACTACCTATAGTAATAAATTCGTTAAATTGTAACGGCAAACACTAACTACTTTATTACTCCGTATCTTTTAACATGAAACTTAAATGTTGGATATATAATATTGATGTTAATTATCTCAACAGTTTACTCTTGACTTGGGATACTCATTGAGAGTCTGTTTGGTAGCATCAAAATCGGTTGTTTTGGCTGATTCTCCTGAAATTTATAAAGTTCTGGTTGTTGTGACTGTATTAGTTGATTCTATTGATTTTTTAAATATATTTTATTAATAAAATAAAGAAAAAATAATATGTAAAAATAGCTAAAATTGTCATCTACAGTAACTTCAGCCAATACAACCAGGAAAGTAACTCCAAAATTATTTTTTCTGCTAATTACACAATTCAGCGCGCGAAAGCAAAAATTACGTGTTTGGTGAAAAAGTTGACTGATAAATACGGAGTATGATAAACCGAAAAACAGTGTTGCCAAACGGCCTCTGAATACTGCAACCATTAAATTAATCATGATTGATTTACGATTTTATTGATTTACAACATACTCATTTGATAAAGTTTAACTTAGAGCCCGTTTGGTAGCACGAAAATCGGCTGATTTGGCTGATTCTGCTGAAATTTATGAAGTTCTGGCTGAAGTGGCTGCATTGGCTGATTTAATAAAAAAAATATTTTTAAAATATATTTTATTAATAAAATAAAGAAAAAATATGGGAAAGTTCCCGAAATATGACTAAAACAGTTTGATAGTTCCAAAATAGGACTGACATGTTTTTTATTCCCAAAATAGGAGTAATTACTGTCAAGTTTGGAAAATACTGCCATGTTTGAAGTCCGGTACTATCAAAACATGACAGTAATTAGTCATATTTTGGGAATAAAATCATGGCAGTCCTATTTTGGAATTTTCAAACATTTTTAGTCCTGTTTCGAGTAATAAAAAATATATGTAAGAATAGCTAAAATGGTCATCTACAGTAACTTCAGCCAATACAGCTAGAAAAGTAACTTCAACCTTATTTTTTTTGCTTATTACACAATTCAGCATGCGAAAGCAAAAGTTACGTGTTTGGTGAAAAAGTTGGCTGATAAGCCGAAAAACAGTGTTGTCAAACGGCCTCTTTTTTTTTCTTTTTTTTGGATGAAATGTAAATATATATTAACACCCAGAAAAACTATACATCACATATTCTAGATCTCCTACCCCCACCCCCCACATAATTTGAGGATGGAAGGAGGTTTTTATTTGATCTAAACTATGCCAAAATAGTCAAGTATAATACTTGGCCCATCAAGAGGTTCAAAAAAATACATCGATGCTGCCCATGCACGCACACAGATCAGAGGCTAAATTCTAAACAAAGTACAAAAAGTGTTGCTAAATCAAACACTATAAAGTCTAAGACCATGCTTCATGCTGCGGCATCCATGATGTCCATACTACGGTTTACCAGGTACCCAAGCCGCGGCATCCATAATATCCATGCCTCGACTCACCAAACCAACATGTAGCGGTCTATCCAAAACCGCGGGATCCATAATACATGCCACGGCCTTCCACTCAGAAAGTAATCAAGTCATGCGGGTATAAATTGAAAAGTATTTTATACACCACATGCTTGATTTTTGCAATGACTTCCTTTTCCTTGACGTCCCCTTCATCAAATCGGTTGATATTCCTAGCGTGCCAAAGGTAGCTTAGCCCAAAGTGTACCCCTATTCCACGTGTAGAAAACACCGGTAGATGGGGCATCTTGTAGGTTAGTCGAGAGCATGAAATCATACAAATGTTGCATCATGTACGCCGTCGGGGGGGGGGGGGGTCGGACCCACCCTTTCATTTGGCGCACACACACAATTAAAATCACCACTAATTAACCACGGGTGTACTATGGAAACCCCCAACTCCGTTAGGTGTTCCCATAACTCTTTCCATTCAAGCACAGTGTATAAAGGATAAACAAAAGAGGCAATAAAAACACTCTGGCTAACCCGACAGGTGCAATTGAGATGCATGTGCTGTTTTCCAATTTCTAAAAAAGTACAGTTCACAAAATTGGGATCCCACATGATAGCCATGCGCCCACCATTTAAAAGGTCAAAATTAGTTTCATGCACCCAACCCGGCCACACATTAGAAACATAATTTTTAAACCCAACCGTAGACATTTTAGTTTCTAGAAAACAACACAATTTTATTTGGTTAATTCGAATAAAACCCCTAACATTCCAAGTTGCTATTTTAACCATCATTTATATATAAAATTATATAAATATACCAAACCTGCACACAAGAAATTAAACATCAAGATAAATAGAGGTCCGAGGAATGGTTCTCGTCCCCGGGGTCACCTTTCTCCCCATCCTTTAATCTCTCGGCCTGTCTTTTCCTTCGAAGCTTCTCCCTTAGAAATTTGATATTGCTGGCTAGATTTGCATCAAAGAAATTCAGGACATTAGAAATAAAATCATTGTTAGGAAAATCATACCAGTTGTCCTTTTTTTTTCACTCCTGGGTAAGAAAGAATGAATGACTCAATGAAAGTAACTCCTGGCTCCTCAGCTTTCACCTTTTGAAGCCTGAAACCAACCCTCACAGTAGTCACCCCCCGGCAGCAGGTTTGGCGGACAAACACAAGCCAATTTCTTGCCATTCTCATCACTGCCAACCTTAATAACCACGTTCCCTTCAACCATATCATGCATGTTGCGAATCACAATGCCCAGATAATCAATTTGCAGTTTATTACAAACTGCCTCACCAATTGAGCTAGGCTTTACAGAAGAAATGCTCGGCTTATCATTAAGCAAAGTGGCAGCTTTCAGGTTTGCTTTTTCCAAGTTGGCAGAACACTCAATGGCCATTAGTTGTTTTGTTTGCAAGAAATCAGTGTTATGGCGGGCCTACACATCAAAGAAACTAGCAACATTAAGAGTAACAATATTTTTATTAAAATTGTACCATGTTCTTGTGCGCCTCACTCCCGGGAGTGCAACCAAACAAGGGTCAGTGAACACCATGTCCGGAGCACCGAGATCAGTTTCTCTTTGAAAGTTCTTTTTAAGCCTGGAGATCGCGATATAGCTTTTGATTTGGTGGCGCTTTTTTACATATGCTAAATGTGCCCCATCCTCCTTTGTTATAAATTTGTTGATAATATCATCCGGTTCAAGCTCGTGCACACTCTTAACAAGCCGCCCTTCCCATTCAAATTTGTCAAACGGCCTCTTAAATATAAGTCATGATGCATATACGAAGTATTACTTATTTACATTAAAATATATATTAAAATAGTTCTAAAATCTCATATCTATAAACCCCTGCAATCTGCATGTACTTTTATAATAACAATATAACACTCTTTTGAACTTTTACTTCAACTTATTAGTCTAGTCATCCCTTCCTCATGCTATATTTGGATTATTTGGAAGAAGGAATTTGAGCTAAAATGTATTTTCTAAAGTATACACTATTGTACATTTGGAGTTGAATAAAAGTTGTTACGAATTAAAATGTCAGTTAATGAAATAGACTCTTTTGTCTGCACCTGAAATAGCTACTTTAAAATGTAAAAGCTCATAACCACATATTTTAATAGAAACCAGATGAGTGTTTTTCTTTTGCAAAAACCAGATCAGTGTTGAACAACAGGACAAAAATGGACTAAGCTAAGCTAATACTCCATAGTAAATTAAAAAAAAGTAATGTGAACTAATCAAATGTGACTGATAAATCACTTCTCATTGGTTACACATCATAAAATAGCCGCAATGTGTTTGTACCTAATTTAGAGTCCATTTGATCATATTGAAATTCGTTGAATATGTGCAATTTTAGGTGAATCAGTTGAATTAGAGCAGCTAAATCTATTAAATTATGAAAAAATTATATTTAAAATATACTTAATTAATCTATTTAATTGAAAATTATATTAAAAGTCTTGTCATCTATAATAACTTCAACTAATTTAGTTAGAGAAGTAACTCCACACTTGCTTATATTGATTATTACATAATTTGGTATGTGAAATAAAAAATTACGTGTTTCGTAAAAAGATTACTTCAAATAATTCAATCAGAAAAGTAACTGCAACCCTATTTAATTTCATTATTATGTAATTCATTATACAAAATGAAAAAATTACTTGTTTGGTAAAAAAATTAGTGACAAACGCACAAAACTAATGAACGGTAACAATTAAATAAATTACCATACACGGAATGAGTGTTTGTTTAATCACAAAATTTAACACATACGTAGTACAATTTCTTTAATCAAAACAATCTATCAATCAAATACTCCCCAGTAAACACCTCCTAATTAAGTTTCTTCTAAAGGATAAATAAAAACAGAATAACTACATGGCAAGTAAATTCTATAGATAGAGATTCGTTTAGCCGAATACAAAGAAACAAGTTCATAAGCTAAATACGGTATGCTTTTTATTTATTTGATATTTTTTCTTAAAATATTATTTTTCAGACGTTACTAGCTGGAAAGAGTAGAAAACGCAAAAATTAATCGATTACCCTCAAATCTCCTTCCCTCCAGATCTCCTACTTTCTCTCTCTACATTCATTCTTTCCTTCCATGGGGAGAGAATTCATCATCCGCCACAGCTGAAGCAAGAAATCACATCTGCGTTTAATATTTTGATTTCTTAGTTAGCTGTTGCGGCTATTGTTGTCAGCATTTTAATTGTTGTTGTTGAGAATCCATTGATGCTTCGGTTTGTCAGGATTTCCATTTCGAATTATACTCCGTATTTGATTACAATTTGATAGATTTCATAAATTTTGGATGCATTTAGGCTCGCATTCGAGTTTTTGTCTGTATAGGGAGAGGAAGCTCTGTATAGGCTTTGTCATCATACATATACAGGTTCGAAGTTCTGCCCAATATATCGGTTTGGTTTGATTTGGTAAGTTTGTGGAGACAGAAGGAAGTGAAGGTGGATTTGATTTTGTCTCGGAATAGACCTGGCAGTCGGTGAGCCCGGATCGTTGATTAGATGTGGGGACGGATCTGATGGTGAAAAAAACATTGTGGTTCAATTGCTTAGGGGTAGTTGCACATCACGGAAAGAAGGTCAAAGCTGACGGTGGTTTCCGCAGCATTCATATTTGGATTTCATCTAGGGTTGTTGGGGTGGAGCTGAAGGATTGGAATTGGATAAGAGCAGGGAGAGCAATCGTGGCGGTGGAGAAGGGAGGAAGATGCAGCTGCACTTCTCTCCTAGCATGAGAAGTATAACGATATCGAGCAACAACAATGGAGGGTTGGGTGATTTGATGAAGATCAAGGTCGCAGCTCGTCACATTTCTTACCGGACGCTCTTTCACACAGTCCTTATCCTAGCTTTCTTATTGCCTTTTGTGTTTATCCTCACAGCTGTTGTCACGCTAGAAGGTGTCAATAAGTGCTCCTCACTTGGTATATGATTTTCTCCAATTTCCTTTTTATTAAAGCACTATTCCAGATCTCTTTTTTCTCTGCGTTGATTTTTTATTCATATCTGGCTACTTTGTGCATCTATGGGTACATCTCTGCGCGTACATCTGACCCCCTTACCCCACCATAGGCGGGAGCCTTTGCGGCACGGGGGTAATGATGATGATGATCTGGCTACTTTGTACATGATTGTTGTTGTTGTTGTATCTGGCTACTTTGTGTTTTGCTTGAGAATTTAGAGGGTACCTTGATGTTACATATGCCATATCTATAGGTTATTATTATTATTAGTTGTTATTTATTATTTGATTTGATTTACCACTCAGTATGCTATATTGCTATGTAGAGCTGAGGACTAAATTCAATAATTTGTTCTCGGTACCATTCTACTATTTTTTACCCTCCCCAATTTGATACCATGCCTGTGATATTCTTGATGTATTTTTGTTTCAGCTTATGGATTTATGCACCTAATTGTGTTTGGGCTACTGGGGGTTAGGAGGGGATTGGCAAATGCAGCACTTCAAGTGATCAATTCATGCAAATGCAGTGTGTGTTCTCCAATTTATTGTTGCATTTTGGTAGATAGAAGCTACCAGGATGCAACATGATCCCAGACTCAGGAAAAATGGAAATAGTGTTGGCCATACAACATGTTGAATGTTAGTGTGAAGTTTATATGAACTGAATTATTCAATAAACATAATAGAAATCATTGACATGCTTTCTATTCAGTCAATGTACCCTGTTTGAATTGTTGCGGCCATGATTTCTTTCCATAAAGATTTGAATCAATCATATGAAGCCCACAGTTTATTGTCTTAACATACTGAGTCATCTTATAACCACAATGTGTAAACTCCTCAATACACTCTTTTTTTACTGTTAATCTCTTCTATATGTTAGTGGCCCTAAGTACTTTTAAGTTTTAACCATTCTGTTATACAACGCCAAAAGAGGAACTCATGTTGATGTGGACAAGGGACCAGCGTTTGTCTTTTTAGGAGTTTTCAGTTTGTTTGGCTATGATGGCTTTTCTTTTTATTCTTTATCGTTTTGTCTTGTATTTTCATTACTCTAGTTTCACTCCCAAAATATTCCCAATAAAACATTTGTTGTCTGTTTCACAATGATTTCAATTGTCAAGGGAAAGATTTTGATGACTCATAATGATTTCATTTTCATATGGACTTACAGATTGTTTAGGCAGGCGGTTGGGACCAAAGCTTCTTGGAAGAGCTGATGATTCAGGGGTAATTGATAGTTCATCATTCATTTCTTTTTCATGATTGATAATGTCACTATTCTAACATGAACTGCATCATGACCAAATGTTTGGCAAATTCTGTTATTTAAGCGCCTCTCAACTCTGTCGCTGCAGAGGCTCATGAAGGATTTTGTCAAGATCCTTAATCAAGTGAACTCTGAGGAAGTACCTGCTAGCTTGAAGCTCCCCGAGTCATATAATCAACTTGTTTCTGAAATGAAAAATAATAAACACAGTGCAAAAGAGTTGGCATTGATGTTGAAGGGAATGGTCAGTTCTTGTAGCCACATGTTGTGTAGCACTGTATATCATTACTGTTTTTATTGTTTGTCTTTTCTTTCTTACCAAATATTCTAATTTGCAGATGGAAAGATTTGAAAGAGAGATCAGGGAATCCAAGTTTGCAGAACTCACAAACAAACACTTCGCTGCAAGTTCAATACCCAAGGGAATTCATTGTCTCTCATTACGGTTGACTGATGAGTATTCATCCAATGCTCATGCACGAAAGCAGTTGCCTTCACCAGAGTTACTCCCATTGCTCTCTGACAACTCGTTACACCATATTGTACTGTCAACTGATAACATCTTAGCTGCTTCCGTTGTGGTGAACTCTGCTGTCCAATCTTCTCATAATCCTGAGAAGATGGTTTTCCATGTCATCACAGACAAGAAAACATATGCTGGGATGCACTCCTGGTTTGCTTTGAATCCGGTGTCTCCAGCTATTGTGGAAGTAAAAAGTGTTCACCAGTTTGACTGGTTAACCAGGGAGAATGTTCCCGTGCTTGAAGCTGTGGAGACCCATAATGGGATTCGTAATTACTACCATGGGAATCACGTTGCAGGGGCTAACCTGAGTGATACTACACCTCGCTCTTATGCCTCAAAGTTGCAGGCCAGAAGCCCTAAATATATCTCATTGCTAAATCATCTTCGCATATATCTTCCTGAGGTAGTCAGCTTTACTATGAGAAGAATCGTGTCGAGTTGTTTTTAAGTTTTACCCCGAGTGAAAAATAAAAGGACCGTAATGTTTTAGGGTAAATGATAATACTCTATCAATCCCCAATTAATCTTCTTTTTTTGACATGACACGCCTATGAAAAAGGTGAAGCTATGTAGTTGAGATTTAATTAAGGAGAAAATAGTATAAATACCCCAAACTTTAAAGGGGTCTGAGATAAATACCCTAAACTTGCATATGTAATATATATATATATATATATACACCCCAAACTTTATATAAAAAGTTATTTTTGCACAATGATTAAATGTTTTTTACAAATATAAATTTAGAGCAATAAATACATAATTTAAAATACTCTAAGCTATATATGGATTCAGTAACATTCTAAAATTTCATTTGTGAAATAAATAATATTAATCCGGTACAATCTAACTTTAATTGCATCCTCATAAGTGTTTTGTGTATTTTAAATTATGTACTTAACACCGTAAAATTACATTTGTGAAAAAGCATATGATCATGGTGCTAACATAACTTTTTATATAAAGATTGGGGTATATATATATATTACATGTGCAAGTTTGAGGTATTTACCTCACACCCCCTCAAAGTTTGGGATATTTAAATTATTTTTCCCTTTATTTAATAAAGAAAGAAAACTATGGATCACTCTATTCTTTCCTAGAAAGGCAACTATAAGATGATTTTGGGATGGATTGAAAAGGAAAACATGAATTTTAATTTGGGATAGAGGTAGTAATTTAGAAGATCGAGGACCAGCATGTTCAAATCATCGAGTCATTAACAGCTTGAAATATTTGTTTTTATGAGTCATAATTTCCGTCCATCTTACTTTTCTCTGAAGACTTTTTATAGACTTCCCTTACATGTTGTGAAATCCATGTGTATTGTGTAAAACTCTTTACTCATCTTGTGCAGCTTTTTCCAAACCTGGACAAAGTGGTTTTCTTTGATGATGATATTGTGATCCAACGTGACTTGTCCCTACTGTGGGAAATTGACCTTAATGGGAAGGTTAATGGGGCTGTAGAGACCTGTAAAGGTGAAGATGAGTGGGTAATGTCTAAGCGATTCAGAACATACTTCAATTTTTCTCATCCTCACATTGCAAAATACTTGAACCCTGATGAGTGCGCCTGGGCTTATGGTATGAATATATTTGACTTGCGTGCATGGAGAAGGACCAATATAAGAGATACATACCATGCATGGCTCAAAGAGGTAAATAAACTGTGTCATTATTCAGTCCATTATTATGTTCATCTACTAGTTGGTCTTTAGTCATAGAAATTTTACTCTAAAATTCCTATCCCAATTCATTATCCTCAACTCTCTTCCTATTTATGTATTTATTGACCAAATCCGACAAATTAAGAAAATGGATTAGGTCGATAAACTAATCATAACTTATATTTTCCTTAAAAGGCCCTCATTTAATGTGTAGTAATTACTTGCTAACTATCCGATAAATGATTAGTATAAGAAGGTAGCATTTGGAAACACTGCCTCTATAGGCTCCATCCTATTAAGTCTGGGACTAGGGTTTGACACAAATGATAAGAAAACGTGGACTTGTGTGGTTGGTATAATGGTATTGAATTTTAAAAATTAGGGGTGATTGTGAGCCACTAAATATGATCAAATATGGAATGAGACAAACTTTTTGAGACGGACCAGAATGAAAAGAAGGGAGAAACAAAGTGGGCGTAAGGAGTTATATTTAACGTGCATCAATTTCATAAGGACAGTTAGAAATTAAGAAACAAAATTCGTTACAGACAAATACAAATACGCAACGAGTATCTAAATTTGGTGCCTGCTGACTGATAACATTATCCATGGGGATGATTGCAAACTTCAGATGGTAGAACAATTGGGTGTGGTACTGTAGTTTTAAACCATGTTGCAATAGGCCTTCGTGTTCTTTCGTGTGACTGTAATGCGATTGGTCTGTTTTTTGAATAAATAACAAAATTGTTAGAATTTTCCTTCTACCAAATGACTTTTCATTGGCAATATTCCCTAATATTTAGGTGACAGGCACATGCAGGTTCTTAACCTATACATATAATCTTTCATTGATGCAGAACTTGAAGTCAAACTTGACAATGTGGAAGCTCGGAACACTACCTCCAGCTTTGATTGCATTCAAAGGTCATGTCCACCCAATAGATTCATCTTGGCATATGCTTGGATTGGGCTACCAAAAAAACACAAATATAGAGAATGTCAGGAAAGCTGCAGTAATTCATTACAATGGGCAGTCAAAACCATGGTTGGAGATAGGGTTCGAAAATCTCCGGCCATTTTGGACGAAGTATGTGAATTACACCAATGATTTTGTTAGGAATTGCCACATCTTGGAGTAGTAGGAAGGTTTGCCCCTTTTTTGTTGTGGAACTACATTCCTGTATACGTCGTGGTTTGGAAGTAAATCAAGACTTGGCTAAACCAGAGTCATACTGAAGTGGTTCTGTTCTCCCCCGCTTCTGAACACATCAGAGAGGACCCACAGTTACCGTTCCTGGGACGAGATGTTCATTCTTTCACTCTGTAAACCAAGCTGTTACATCCCCATATATTTTTTTAAATATACAATATATACATTATTTTGGCCTGCTGGTATGGGTGTAGCTTCTTAGTCCTTTGGAAGGATTGATGCAGCGCGTCTGAATGAGATTCTTCATGTGCTGCAGGAGAGGGAAAGCTTGGATCTCCCATTCTGTCCACATTAGATATATAGATGATTCTTTGAATTCCTTTTTATGTTGAAATAGATTTTTTTGCTGTTTCCTTTATCTTTTACATTTTCTTTTGATTGTTGATTCTATATAAATTGGGATATAAAGCTGTGTTAGGTTAGTTGGACTCCTTTTTTGTTCTCTTCTACTGTAAGAAGTTCTTGGGATCTCATGAGCTGAAAATTCTTTATTAACTAATCATTAGATATGAATCTTTGTTTTATTCATCCTTTGACATAGTAAACTGCATAAACATTTTTTTTAGCAATTGAGTGAAATGCTAATCTTCTTCATTGTTGATATGTTGCATTCAGATTAAAAATTAAAATACTGGACCTCATCCAAATGTTAAATCTAAACAACAGATGCAACATTATTAAAAGATACTCCGTACTATGAGTAACTAAAAATGTCAACAACAAAAACCCCAAATTAGTTTCTCACATTCTCATATTTGAGGAATGGGTATTTTTACTGTACTTTTGAATTTTCAAAGTCGGTGAGATTAGAATTTTATGGGCTACGGGCTACCTTGATCGCAATTTTTTTTTAGAAAATACCAAAAACGCGACTACCATTATTAGACATAGGCAACTACTTTCATCCTACTACTTCCGCTCACTAATATTGAAACATGGAGAGGTGACGAAGTTATTTAAAAATAATAATTTATAGGAAAAATTGAAAATAATCCCAACTATTGATTATTTTTGTATAATCCCAACTTTATGTATCGTCCGCCAATAATGGTCCATGGCCAGATATTACCTCCTATAAAAAGTGAATTTTATATAGAAATTAAGTGTAAAAATTAAAAGTTGAGATTATTTATAAGGATTACTTGTTATATCACACCTCATCCACTTTAGAAACTACATAAATTTATTTATAGGGACCACTATTAGCGGAAGGTCCCTAAAGTTGGGATTATTCTGAAATAATCGATAGTTGGGATTATTATGAGCAGACCGCCAATAGTTGAGATTATTACTATCAATTTTTCCTAATTTATATGATTGATATTGAATTAATAAAGTAAAAATAAATTAAGAAAGATTTAGACAAATTTGATATGTGACAATCTTAGTTAGACGGACAAAAACAAACAACTACGAAGTATAAGACAATATTAATGAAATGGAGGAAGTATTATATTTCGAACATGTGGTGAATTTAAATTTATTGAAGAAAGTAGGATTATATACTACATGATATATATATATATAATGTAGTAATTAAAGGCGTAATTGAAATACTAAATTATGAATGAGTTTGAATCACGTAACACATGATACAAATATGAATTGTCAACTTCTCTTATTCAGCTGTTCTAGAAAACTATCATTTCAATTTAAAGTAAAAAGATTATAATTAAGGTTATATATCTTCTCCCACAATTTATAATTAAAGTTATCTGTTATTCCACAACCTATAACCTACAATCTCCCAAATTTTACATTCTTAGTTTCTTAATCCACATGCAAATCAATTTTACATTTTTTTATGAATAGATGATAAAGAAAAGTGGGAAAGAAGTAAGAACATAAGGACTTACGCTGCCAATCCTGCCATGTGACCAACACAAAGCGAAACTATTCTCTCGCCTTTTACTTAAAATGGACTTATGTAGGCATACACAATTTTCTCATACTGATCTGAGAAAACTACAATGATTCCATAACAGGAGTGTGAAGGATATTACAATGTCGCACCAAAGCGGATACAATTGCACAAATGGCTCACAAGAATGTTCTGAAGCATACCACCAATACTCAATCAAAATGCTCACCGATTGTGAATAGTTCTGAGCAAAAAACTCTGGAAAGCTTTCATCATCCTTGTAAAAAGAAATGCAGCACTGCACACACATAAAGATATAATAATATATATTTCATTCTTCTGCTAGGCCTCACTCAGATCCAGAAGCTTCCGCTTCCTCTGTATCAGACAAGGGCAAGAGTGTACAAATCCCAAGCACATGACCGTTAAGGCACACATAATACTCAATCGCATCTTCATAAGCACCCAGTCTGCAACTAGCACTTGAGGGTATCATATTAGCCTGCAACATACTCCACAGCTTCGCCTTACAGTACGGACACACCTCCCTCGGGTGCAGCTGAGCGTCCTTCTTTATCAGCATCTTCTTCACCTTTGATGACCCGAATGACTTAAATATCCCCCGGAAAAACCCAACGTCCCCTTCTTCTCCTTGGTCAAGATGCTCACATGGATCGGAAACGTACAAAACATCTGTCCTGCATTGAGGTAAAAGAAAGCTCTTACCAGACGTCCTTGAGAACCGTGTCCTATGAACGAAGTGTCCGGGAATGTGAATGGTGTTAAACAACCCGCCCTTTGTACATCCAGAGCAGTAAATGAGGAGTTTCCCAAGTGCCCTCCAGTTACCGTCCACACTGTGGCTGCCACAGGATTGTAGGTCAAGCATCATCTTGGGCGCCCTTTTTTTGCAGAACTCCTTCCAGAGAACTCTCTTCGCGAGATCGTCAAACCATTTGCACGCACAGGATAGATCTGCAATCGTCTTCGGGTTCCAGTTCATATGTTCAAAGACTAGGAATATCACTTCTTCACTTAGATGCCCTTTTGTGCATATGCAGTATGCCGAGTGACTGCACCGGTATTGTTTGGTAATTTTCATTTTTCTGAAAACCTGTCAATTGCTGATGAAGCAACACTTCGGATCTGTTTCAAACCCGGAAAATGCTAGAGACAATATGGAGGAAATTAGAGGGGTTCAAACTCAATAAACCAATTTCAAAAATTTGTTCAAGCTCATTTATATATATATCTGTTATATAAAGACTAATAAATCTAAATACATGTAACTTTCAACCAGAATAATAATCAGATTTGATTCTCTTTCGTATAAAGCTGAACATAAAAAGGTCGATTTCCTACCCATTTCCCTACAATTTTCTGGTTTCCCGACAGAGCCGTAATGATCTTATACGTTTTGATAAATCTTACAAAAATGAACATATTGGAAGCAATTGTTTATGAAGTTGATTAGCACTATATATAATACTACCTCCAGCCCATTGGACATTGTAAGTTTTAATTTGCAGGTGAAATAAGAAAGTAAGAATTGCGTGGTTGAAATGTGTGCAGAGATAGAAATAAGTACAACCACAAAAGTATTACTTTAAAGGGAAAATAGCAGTCTTTTAAACAGCCAAAAAAGGAAAGTAGGCAAAAATCTTGTGGGACAAAGGGAGTAAGGGTTAAAAGGTTCCTATTGAAAACTATTATTCAACAGTCCAAATGATTGATTTTGATCCTAGTCACACAACAACAACAACATCCAAGTCGTATTCCAAAAAGACTTAGGGGATGGCTAACATGAATCAATAGTATACCAAGAAAATGACAAGGAGGTATAATAGCTTATACTCCAGGGACAATAGCTCAAACTCCACGATTTCGGTGTTTTATAAGTTTCAGTCTTTCAAATAAGTATTAAGAAGAACCACAAGAGAAAACAGATACGACTAAAACGATAAACATTTCTTCAAACAGATATTCATTCTTTTTTCTCAAAAATAAGACTCACTCACTTAGTCACTCCTACAGAAGAACTACTATATTGGTCCCACATTGTTTTGCAAAAATAAAAAGAATATGAGGTTAACTGACAATAGAATTAATGTTCCCTTAATACTATGCAAATTGTTGTTAGTAATTAAATTTCTATATTTAAGAACTATACTTATAGTTCTATTGAATTGGAAAAACAGAACTCGAATATTGTAAAATTTTGATACTCAAGATCGCAGAATACAAAGGTAACTGCATTGACCAGAACTATACTTATAGTTCTATTGAATTGGAAAAACAGAACTCGAATATTGTAAAATTTTGATACTCAAAATCGCAGAATACAAAGGTAACTGCATTGACCAATGGCATAATGAAATCACAAAACAATTTGGGTAGGAGGTATTATTAATTAACCTTATTCTTCTTTTATGATTTTATAGAAAACAGGGATAGTCTTACTAGTGCACATGACACATGTTTTACCCCTGAATACCATAACTTCTAAAAACATAAACCCTAATTCTTAGCTCTTAAATTTCTAGTATATCATAAAATGTAACTTAAGCCTCCAATCTACAAGCTAGTCTTACAGAGTTACTTACGCATGCCCAATCAATCAAAGACATGAAATCAAAATTTAGAATAAATTGTAAAGGTAGATCATTGCCAAGATGATTAGTGGATACTTCAAGAACTCTTTTATCATTCAGTTCTAATGTGTAGGATATAGAAAGTCCAAAAGTAGAGACTCAACTAAATGTGAAAATGTGATGTTCATAGATCTTCAGAAACCCAAATTTTCTCACCCAGTTGTTTCAATACATGATTCAAATTCACCATAACTAACATTGGATCTATCAAACACCTGATAAAACTGCGACACAGCCCATACCTGAGCAGAAGTCAACTTCAATGTTAGAGTAAGCACACAGCTCCAATCTTATGCAGCAAAAATCTCATTAAAACCCTAAATCGTAAGGAAATATAACACTCAAGGTCAATGAAATGAGAATAAAAATGCACCTTGAAGCAAAACAACAATCGATGGATAGGTCATAATATGTCAGCAACTCGTAGCAAATTTCTCACCCCAACTCACATAGACCCTAACCATGGCATCTGATTTTTTTAACCAGAAGCTTCAGCATGAAGAGTGAAGGAAAGAAAAATAGCAAACACTAGAAGATTGGTGCAACTTAAGCTGTGGAAACCATGAAAAAAATCATTGCTTACACTACCAGATCACTGCAATTTCAAGAGGAAAATAATACGAAGTAATTTCTTAAGTTTTTTTTTAATATGCCATGGAGAGAAAAAATGCTACACAGTATCTGCTATGGTCCATTCCTCTTGGCAATTTGCACTTCTTTTTAAAGGTGTGGAATGTGGAGAAGAAAAACCATAATCATTTGTCATTCCATTTATAGACAATAGAGTATTAATTAATTAATCTTACCCATAGAAATGTACTCCCTCCGTGCCACAAAACTTTATCAATTTTCCTTATTTAGTCGTCCCAAAAAACTTTGACATTTTTTTAAAGTAACAAACTTGTGATTAATGTTATTTCTCTCTCCTTTGCACAAATCTCAACCACATAGTTTGTACTTTCTTACTCCACGTGCAAATCAACTTTGATCAACTTTTATGGGACGGATGAAGTATTTATTATCAAGTACCAGTCACACACCTCACCCCGCCATAGGTGAGAACCGTTGCAGCACTGGAGTAATGTTGTCGTTGTTGTTCTACCAGTCACAAACCTTAAAGCTGAAAAAACTAGAACCACATACCTCTATGAGATTCTACAAAATAATACTCCCTCCGCCCCCCAATTAAGTTCCTAGTTGCATTTTTAGAGTCAAACTTTATAAACAATTAAACACTGACCGTTAACTATTCAAAACATACATTAGTTTATCACACATGAATTAATTTTACGTACTTCATTGCAATATATATTATTCAAATGTTAATTTATATTAGATTTTATAAGTATAGATTTTTAGATATTTAGGGTCGTACTTCCACCTAGAAGACCATAAAAGTCAATTTGGGAATTTAATTGGGGGACGGAGGGAGTATATTTGAGTAAAATTTGTCTCAAAGTTCAGAATAAACTATTTTCTGATTGCAACGGACATGGATTAAATTATTGTTTCAATTCATAGACTACGCAACATAATGAAAGACACTACACCTCTAAAAATGCTTGTTCATATGTTTATATATCTTTGAGGCGTATCGTATTTACATATACTGTGAAACTTAATGTAAGACACAACACCTCTAAAAATGTGTATTAGTGTATTCATATGTTTATAATATTATATCTCTTTGAAGCGTATCTTATTTTAACATAACCAGATATATCTTGCTCTATACAACAAGAGGAAAAAGGTGTACCACTTTCCGCCTAAAGTCATTTTCTCTTTGGTTGACGCATGATGATTTGATATTTGGAGCATAGCTTCCCGTGGAAAAAAACTTAGTAATGTCTCTTCGAAGTAGGAATAAACATTGAGTTAGAAACTAGTGAATCCTTGAAGAGTGGAATTAAAAGGACTACTAAATTAGGCCAGCTGTTAAAGTGTCTTGGACAGTGAAATTTTCAGTTCCTGAAACTGGACTGGGTTCTTAAGCAGAGCTCTGCATTAGTTTGTGGTCCCTTCAGATATTTGAAAATAGATTAAGCCCTCGCGGATGAGTTGCAAAACAAAATTAAACACCTCAGAGAAGCTGTAAAAATACGCAGTATCAGAATATACATCATGGTCAAGGATTGGAGTCATACCATGTCATCATGGCCTCTAATTAAGGGAGCCATGGAAGTGTAATGAAATTCCTGCTCACTCTGAGGAAGGTGAAAGTGCAAAACTATTGAAATTATCTTTCAAGATGAAGAGATATGTTTTCAAAGTACACACTAAAATTGTAATAATGTATCATTCCAATTTCAAACTAAGGAAGTTTACTAAGATTCTAAGAAACCTAACAAGCCCTTGATTCTCCTATTAGTTTCAATATCCTTCTATGTACCCAAAATGATTCTGAATACCAGAGACAAAGAGCCTTCTACTTTTAAGCAAGGTTTTTCATGACTCAATTAATAGAAGAAACTGATTTTAACCATCTCTTTGAAGTTTTTAATACAATAATAACCAGTTGAGGCAGCAAGCCTCTGGCCATTAACCAGAAAGTCGAATTAAATACTCCTTCTGTCCCATTTACCTATCTTACTTTACTTTTTAGGTTGTCCCAAAATGAAGTGTCACATTTCCTTTTTTGAAAAGAAATATGTGATCTACAACATTTACTTTTTTCAACCACTTAATTAATAATTGTACCAAACCAAAGTAGGACACATAAAATAGGACGGCGGTAGTAAGATTTTGAGTTATAGCAAACTCTGATAAAGTACAGAAAATTTTAGTATGGTACGAATCAGGGCCGGCCATGGGGCCATTTGACCTAGACAAATGTCTAGGGCCCCAAAGTTTTAGGGGCCTCCAAATTAGACAAAACCTTTAGTATTATATATGTAGTATGTGTAATTAAATTTGATTTCCCCAAATACGATCTATTGAACCGATTGGACTATACATTTGACACGTATACATAACTTTAATAAAATTATAAAAGTTGAAATTTTGCTAGGTAGGTTAAACAGTTACAATTAGGTATGGGTCAATGTTAATGCATTTGGTTATTCTATTTTTACCTTATTGGACTGACACTTGAGGTCAATGCTTTAAAATAATTGAAATACATATGGAATAGTTTTTTTATATGTTGGGAGAATTATACCTCTTATTGTTGTTTTTTAAGACAATATAAATTCCTGGTATGTATAATCAATTAGGTCAAGGGAGTAAGATAACACGTGATAAATGTGTTACCCATATCAGATTGTAGTTATGTTATACGGAGTAATAAATTTTGCACTTTAAAAACACTTGATGAATGTGTTACCCAAATTAAAAATACTCACTTTTGCATTTTAAGTGCGTTTTGTGTATGTTTGCAATTAAAAAAATCTTTTAACCTTATGGTGCACTTCAATTGTGCTTTATTTCTCAAATTGTGTGATTTTACTCAATTTATCCGATATTAATTTTTTTTTTGACTTTGGTGTTATAGAAATCACATGAATATGATAATATATGTGATATACGTGGTATCAATTTTAAGGGAGTGCTTGCAAAATTTATAAAATGTGCTTTTCACCTTTTGCTTTTAAAAACTGAAATGAGTATTTTCAAGCGGTAGTTTCTGCTTAAATTAAGCATCTAAAACTAAAAGATGAAAGTGGGTGGAAAAGTGTTCTAAACTGTTTTTGACTTTTACTATTATATAAAAAAAATTATCAAATATTATCAATTTTTACTTTTCAAAAAGAATTTTATTCAAATATTATCAGTTTTTTATATTGACCACTTTCTCAAAAATCACTTTAAAAACACTTTTGAGTAGAAACAATCACAAACATTTCTTAAATACTATGTATATTTTTGTCTAGGCCTCCATATTTCTCAAGACGGCCTTGGTACGAATCAACTAGATAAATTTAACAATATCTATGACTATAAATTTCTTCACTACATTTCACATTTCATGGTGATTCTCGTAAACACAAAACCAAGCCATACAAGCAATTGAAAGAAACAAACGGATGTAGGAAATAAGCATTTTGGGTAAACTCCAAATGTTTTGTTCACAGAGGAAAATTGTAGATATGGTTTATTTACAACAAATTGAGCACTACTACAATAGTTTTGTTTGGTAATATGTCATAAATTGAAAAATTGAACCAACATAGAACAAAGACATACCTGTATGGAAATGAAAGATTGTCAGCTTCCAGTACAGGGATGGTTTCGCGAGGTCATTAATTGTGTGAAGATGAAAAATCCATGTATAACAAAGAAAATACTTATCTGAAAAGTGTAGATAACTCGATGTTAGTTGAATCAGGACATAAGATTAGTTGAGAATAAGTGCTAAGGTTGAAAGTTGAGGAAGCGGTGATGAATACCTGAGCAGATTGAAGAATGGGGGTTGTCGACAGGGGAGGGACGGAGATGCAGAGGATAAATGCAATTTCAGTAAGTTGGAAAAGAGTTGCGTAAGTGGAGTATGCTACTCAAATTTTCTTTTTTTGGTCTTATTTCGTGTGATTTAGTTTGATCTAAACCCATAAAAGTAGAGCTGGATCCGAAAAAACGAAAACCGAATCAAATTAAATCGAACCGCAGCCAAATAAAACCGGACCGCTAAGAAACCGAAACCGGATGTAAAAAACTGAACCGAACCGAAGTTGTTTGGTTCGGTTTTTGTTTTTACCCTTCAAAACCGAACCGAACCGAACAAACCGAACTATTTAAAATATGAAATTTATATGTTAATTGTTAAATATTAATTCTAATTAATCTTAAATCATCAATAGTCTTTGGTTTTCTTGTGTTAGAGAAATAATGTTTGTATTATGTTTAATTTAATTTAGTTTATAAATTCATTTACACATTCATTGTCTGTAATAATGTAGCTATATTGAATGATGATAATATGTATTTACTAGTTATTAGTAGTAATTAACTTTTATTTTTAGATAAATTAAATATTTTGTATTGATAAAACAATAAATATTCATCTCAACTTCACATATAACGTATATATTCATGAGCTTTTTTCGAACTACTCACAAATAAATTAAATCAATAATATATACAGTTTTATCTATCTCGCATACTCATATAATTCAAGACATATTTATCTCTTCTCATTTTTATTTTATTTGTTATTGTATTGTGCTTGCATTCTTTATGTAATATGTTTGATCCCTCTAAGTTTTATATCAATTTTAAATCAAGTGAGAATTTTTTGGTAAAAAACCGAAAAAACTGAAACCGAACCGAAACAAACCGAACCAATCAAACCGTGGTTCCAAGTTTTGGAGTGTAAAACCGAACCGAAACCGAACCGAACTTTTTACTTTGATTCTATATTTGGTTTTAGGTCAAAATCGAACCGCAAGAACCGAACCCACCCCTACATAAAAGTCGATTTTAAGTCTATTGTTTTAAGTCGATTTTGTTTTACACTCCGTATCATTCAAAAAAAATTATACTCCCTCCATCACCTTTTAGTTTGCCAAACACAAATTTTTAAGTCAAAGTTGTTCAACTTTGACCGATTATATATTTATACACGGTAATATTGATAATAAAAAAATTATATGAAAATGTTCTTTGTTGAAAATACTATCATAAAAGTATAAATTTATTAACTTCTACATTTAGTTAAAATAATGGATCCAAGTTTATCATCTTTGACTAGAAAAGTCAAAGTTGCCAAACTAAAAAGGGACGGAAGTAGTATAATAAAATTGAGTTATAAAAGAATGACGTGCTATTTGAAAAAAAGTGATACATCTCTTATTGATTAAAAATCCTATTATCACTACTATTAAAATATTTAATAAAATGTTTGTTTAATCCATACCATATGCTTGATATAGGGGAAAAAATTGGAAATTAAAAAGTAGGTTAAAGGGTCAAATAGGTACATGAACTAACTTAAAGTGTTCAATTAGCCCCTTATATAGGAGGTTCTGCCCGGCCGTCGCCAATTGGGGCAGTTCCCGGTGGAATTTTTTGATGAAATTTTTTGAGCATCTTCTTCATTAAGTCTAGTTTACCCATATCAAATTTCAGCTAAAAATTAAATCGGGAAGGCAGTCAAATGATTTTCCGAAATGTATTGCGCTGTTTAACTGCGCAGTTATCTTCAAAAAATCATTTGACTCCTCCCCGGTTGAATTTTTAGCTGAAATTTGGTATGGGTAAACTAGACTTAATGAAGAAGATGCTCAAAAATTTTCATCAAAAAATTCCACCGGGAACCGCCCCAATTGGCGATGGCCGGGCAGAACCTCCTATATAAGGGGTTAATTGAACACTTTAAGTTAGTTCATGTACCTATTTGACCATTTAGCCTAAAAAGTATAACATCAAATTCCTTAATTAAGAATAAATCCACGACATCAGTCATCTCACCTCTTTGTAGGACTTGAAAATTTGCACCGCTCATATCAATATGGGGTTGAAGCGACAAATTATACTGATTTTAAATATTCTAACACTTTGGATTGCAGCTACGTCGGAGGAGATAACGTTGACGGATAAACTAGTTGTGGTTGAGAGTTTGTATCAATGATGGATCGTGCAACCTTGGTCGGCCGCTCCGACAATACTGGAGTTAGTATCCAATCATATTGCAAGAACTCACCCTCCTCCGGAACCACCTCCGTACCAGGAAGAATTTTGTGGAAAGACTTTATTTCAATATTATTTGATCCATAATAGTACTTGTTTTTATTTTAGTCCGTGCAGATTTGGTTTGGATGGTTGGGTTTTTGGAGTTTTTTTGATAGGGTTTCAATTCTAGTCGTTTTAGACTTAAATTTGCTTGTTTCAGGTTTAGCAAGTTAGATTGTTTTGTATGAAGGTGGCTGACTCTATGTCTATTCCCGCAGTTCACGATTGAATCTGTAAAATTTGTCTCAAGGTTGTCTTGTATGTGTTCTCGATTTTAATATAAAAGCCGATATTACACATAATATGACTCTCAATCTCTCATACACGGGAATTCTAAGTCAATAATTGTACAATAACAATACTCTGAATGGGACTAACACATGTAATCGACCTTTTTTCTTTTACCATTCGTTACATCCCTTGATCCCTAAAAATAGTCAGTCCTTTTTGTGAAATAAATCATGTTTTATTACAACACTACACATAAAATTTCAAAAGAAAAAATTCTCAGTTTTACAAAATTTGCTATGATCATCGACCAAAGACAAGAGAAAAGACTATCATGTTGGATTGTTGGATTATATTGTCTCATCGCTCTTTTTTTATTTTTTATCCGTCCCAATAGGCCAAATTGTCTTATGCCACTTTTAATAACATTCAAGTAGGGCCAATTTTCTCATGTCAAATTTGATAACATGCATGAGATTCTAAACCATTTTTACTTTATTCTTACTCATTATATTAATAATTAGACCACATCTTCATGTACCAAACTTAGAGGGATAGAGCTTGACCAAAAAATAACTTAGAGGGATAGAGGTAAAATTATTTAACGTTGATATGGTTTATTTAAATTTGGAATGGTCTGCTGTGATTTGAAATATGTGGAATGGAACAAGGACATGAATATAATCCCTACAATTCAGTGGTTCATGTTTTCTAGAGTAACTTCACTATAATCTATATTCTATAATAACGAAAGAGAAAAAACACGCCACACACCATCATTGGAGCTATTACCACAAATAATGCATTTATCCACACTTCAAATCCCCGTACCTTTCAACATATTCTTTATCTATGAACACTCCTTTTTTTTTCAAGAAAAAAAAAAGGACTTGAGTGGATATACTACTATACCAGCACGAAAGGGTGCAGAAACATTGATAAAGTACCAATAAAACAAACTTCAATGAGTATATTCAGTAAAACATGAAGCGTGGTAAAACAAAGTTTTTGTTTCCTGTCAAGAAATGGAATGATCAGAAGAGGGCTTTTTCTCTTGTAGAGAAATCACAGTTTCGAAAGCTCCAACCAAAGCCTTAACCTTGCTCTTCTTGCTCTCAACAAGCTTGCTTGCCGTCTCTTCAATCACATTATTGAGTAATACACCCTGCCCATCTTTCTTCACCCCCTCGACTTCTTCATGATGCCTCAAAATCACCTTCCCCGGGCCCATCATATCACTGCTATTTTCTCCACCCTCAACTCTCTTCTTTGAACTTCTCCTCCTTGCATCACCACTCTTGTTCACTTGGTTCCCCCTTGAATCTCTCCCTACCTTCGCAGAACCAGACCTCTTGGTTTCATGTTGGGGACTCACTTCCTTGCTGTTTGCGCCTATTTTCTTGTCATCTCCTCCTTTACTGGTTGCAACTCCAGACCTGTCTGTATCATCTTGCTCATGAACAGACTCCACAGCCTTATCTTTTCCCCCATCCGAATTGCTCTCTTGATTTTCCCTCAAAATCTTTCCTTTCCTAAAATTTAATCTCCTTGGACTGTTGATTTCTTGACGGAGATTAACCACGGTTCCTCTCCTAAACTTTAGTTTCACTGGTAAAGAAGTTTCCACTCTAGTAGCAATGAGAGTTCCCCTTCTAGAAGCAATGCTTTGATTTCTTCCAACACTTTTAGCTCCCTTACTGCTTGCAGATATGTTCTTGTTGTCTCCTTTTTCAGAGGACGAGATAATGCGATCATGATGAACAGACTCCATCATATTGTCTTTAACCACCTCCACATTGCCATCTTCTCGCTTTTTCCTCAAAATCCTCCCTTTCCTAAAATTTAGTATCCTCGGACTGTTGATATCTTGATGGAGATTCACCACGGTTCCTTTCCTAAACTTTAGTGTCACTGGTAAAGGAGTTTCCACTCTAGTAGCAATGAGAGTTCCCCTTTTAGAAGCCATGATTTGATTTCTTCCCATGCTTTTAGCTCCCTTAGTGCTTGCAGGTATGTTCTTGCCATCTCTATTTTCAGAGGACGAGATAATGTGATTATGATGGTCAGACTCCGTCATATTGTCTTTAACCACCTCCACATTGGTGTCTTCTCTCTTTTTCCTCAAAATCTTTTCCTTGCTGTATTTTAATCTCTTTGGACTATTGTTTTCATTCGCTGTATCACGAATCTTGCCCCTACTAAATTTTGGTTTTACAGATGGTGGAGCATCATCAAGTTTAGGGAGAACTGGCTTCTTGGACTTGGTCAAGGTCTTGCTTGGATTACTTTCTATGTATGAATCTGGCAAGTGTGAAGCAGATGAAGATTCGGGCAACAATAAAGATGATGGTGAAGAAAGCGAAGCAACAATTTCATCATCTTGAGCAGGGTCCACATTTTCCATCTGGACGACATGCAGTGTTTTCTCAGAGACCTTTTCTTCAGCTTCGACATCAGTTTCCCCCATTCTGTTACGGGTCTTTGCTGGTTTTAAGGTCAAACTCACCCGCTTTCTCAGATTTAGTGCTTCCCTGACAGAAGGCTTTGAAGTTGATGAAGCAGTTGGGGCTTTCACAACTATCTTTCTGCTACGTTTGGTGTCCCTAACTCTTTCACAACTGATAATATCACCTTTTCCTCCCGAACCTGGCTTTACACCTTCTAGAGGCTTACAGGAAGATGGTTGTTTTAGTGACTTAGATGGATGGTCTTTTGGTGACATACTTTTTGTTTTCCCTTCCGTCTTTGGTGTCATCTTGTTGCTTGAGGTATCTTGCACTGGTGAAGGATCAACTTCCTCAGGCTGCAAAAAGACTACATCTTTGATTATTTCTGGGGGTGCTTGAGAGTGGGTTTCTTCAGGATCGCAGGCCCCACTCACACTAGTCCCTGACGCCATTGCAGGAATCAGCTTCTGATTCAGAGGTTTTTTGGGTCTTCGTAGCAGAGGACGGATTGGTTTTGGTTCAGAAGAGTGATTCCTTCCGTATTTACAGAAATCATGGCAAGAACCAGTAGAAGCTCTGAGATAGTTGGGAACGATGATATGATCACTATCAGAACGACAATTTTGTTTCCCAGTAGAGCTTCTTCTTGAGCTTAAGCTACCAGGTGCAAAAACAGAATGCTTAGTACTCAAATGTCCCGTTTCCTTATTGCTGCTTATGATGGGGCTTGTCCTCTCAAGCTCATTCTTTACAAGTGTTTCTGAGGTCAGTGATGAATTGGCAATATCTTCAGCCATCAAACATAAATTGACTCGCGCAAATTCAATTGTCAAGAATCCCTGGAAACATTAGAAAATGTTATCATCTCACGTAAATAGTCATATATACTTAATAATATATTAGGTATTCCAGCCATTGGATTTTATAATTACAATCCACTCTTGTGGCACATTAAATACATTTGGCAATGACCCATCACTTTGAATATCAGACTGAATAGAACTTTGCAATAAATGATAATAGTCCCTTCCCCTCCATAAGGTTGGGTGGTTAAAACTAGAAAATGGCTTCAAATTAAAAGTTACGAACATATAGCCTGGGATTTAGAGAGGGAATCTTGAAGATACAATTTTGAAGTAAATGATCTTTCAGAAAAACAAGCAAGCAATATTCCATTAAGAAGTTAAGAGCATCTTATATAGGATAAGAATATAAAGCAATAAGAATAATGTACATAAGAAAAGGCTCTGATTCTATGCCCTTTTTGTTCGACAATAACTCTTGTTCGCACCCACCCCTCATAGAATAAAAGGTTACTTTACTTAAAAGGTTGCATTATCAATTCAGCAACCAAACAGGGTTCAAAAGTGGCCTATCATATAATAATATTTATTCGTCACTGTAATTTTGTAGACGACAAATAGCCAAATAATTTTTTTGGGGTAAATTTGCATGACACACATTTGACTACGAGGCCGTTTGGCAACACTGTTTTTCTGCTTATCAGCCAACTTTTTCACCAAACACGTAACTTTTGCTTTTGCACGCTGAATTGTGTAATAAGCGGAAAAAGTAAGGTTGGAGTTACTTTTCTGGCTATATTGGCTGAAGTTACTGTAGATGATCATTTAAGCTATTTTTACATATAATTTTTTCTTCATTTTATTAATAAAATATATTTTAAATATAATTTTTTCTTAAATCAGTAGAATCAGCCAATGAAGCCACTTCAGCCGGAACTTCATAAATTTCAGCAGAATCAGCCAAATCAACCGATTTTCGTGCTACCAAACGGGCTCTACATTACATTCTGTTACTGTCTTATCAAATACTCCGTAAAAAATATGAAAACAAAGTCAATATAAATACTCTTCTGTGCAAAAAGTGTATGGAGTAGCGTAGAATGCTTTAGCATTAGATTAGTCCCTATTCCGGGAGAGATGTAGTAAAATAGACGAACTAATTAAGAAATTTTAAAATTGTCTATGCTTGGAAGAAAATGCAAACCTAGACTACCTAGTCATATACGAAAACAATGTGCCACAAGGCAACGCACAAGACCTCATCCATAAGATAAACAATTCAAAGAAAATGCTAAAATAGTGAAGTGCTCAGACAACATAGGTACACAACAGCACAAAACAGTTTCCCAATCATGGTTTTAAACACATGATCAACAGTTAAGTATGGCCAAAATGGTAAAGACTGGAGAAGTACTGGAATCCATACAGATTACATTTGGTACACTTTGCAGACAAAAAACTAAAAGTGGTTAAATGGGATGGTCAACTAGAAAAATGAAAATGGCCATAATACAACGAATTCTTTGTGGTACACATGATCCAAATATATAGAGATTTTAGTTTACATGTTATACTGCTTATCATCATAATATTTAGCGTTTGAATTTTTAATTGGGTGAAATAGATGCCACCAAAACTTTTGCTTTCAAAGTATTCAGCAAATTTCAACCACTTCAGACAAATGGCCCCTACCAAACTAGCTCTCACAGTAACAAAGAAAGTTCCCTCCTTGCATCCAGTATACACAGAACTCCATACTTCATAAATCATTAGCATAAATCACAAAACAGAATACCAGTATTCCATGAATAAGAAACAGGAAATTAATGATCAAAACATTGTCAACCTTAACACACAAAAAACTCCGAGAAGAATACGATTCAAACCAAACAGGAGTACCTTTTAACTTTCCCTTTCCAATATGCTGAACGACAACTAAAGAGCAACTGCGATCAGATAATCATCTGGAAATAAAGATCAAGGGAAACTTTGAAGAACCCATATCCCAATGCGGGAAAGGGAAAATCGACTATGTCGAAATCCATGAAAAGATCAAACCCTTTTTCAGTATGATGAAAAGAAAAACAAGATGAAAGAGAGCTTACGTTTCCGGAAGCAGAACCGGCCGTCGAAGGAGGAAATGGAGAATCAGGAAACGTTCGGCGTGATTATCGTTGAGAGATCGCGCAAGATACGGCGGGGAAGAAGGGGGAAATCAAAGAAAGGCCGAAAAGGGGAGGACGATCAGCACCGGAAGTTCGCACCCCGCGGAAGAGTTGTGCTGTCAACATCTTTCGTGGCACTGCCAACAATGAAACCGACTCATTAATTTAATGCAAAGAATGAATTTCGGGACGCTGTTTTGATTTTTGAATAGAATTCTTTTACCGATGATCTTTCTAACGTGTGCTATTCGTCGATCAAGGGGTAAAGTTAGGGGCCTTGTTTGGATGGCCCGCACCAAAGTTTGAAAGACTGTATTTTTTTTTTGAACTATTTGAAAGATGTATTTCTGCCCTTTAAATTGATTATCTTTGATTTTTCACTTTTTTTTAATCATCAGCTAGCCACTTGTATTAATTAATGAAGTCATTAGCCAATTGGCTTACAATAAAGTTCGGAACAACATCAAACACACTCCTATGATCTGAAAGTAAAACATGAATTCTAGCTAGTAAATAAACCACACGATTCGCAGATCGCTTACAAAAAGAGACACTATAGTTGCTCTTTGTTAAAAGAATTTCCCTAATATCTTCCAAAGTTAAATCAATATAGGAGAAGCCTCCTCCCTGCCGAAGGCCTTGGACAACTGAAAGTGCGTCCTTCTCGAATTCCACATTCTGCCAACCAGCTGTAGTCGCCTCCTGTAGTGCGTCTCTCAGCCCAACTGTCTCCATTTCCGCCGGGGACCAACCTGCTCTGGTTGAGACACATCATGCCCTGAAAAATTCTCCCTGATCATCTCTCGCCACCCATCTCCAAGCTCTCTTGTCTCCACTTGGATCCATTGCAGCATCTACATGACTACATTAACTTTATTAAAACCCCTCCCCGGTCTACGTCATACCTGCTCCCCGCCGCTCCCTTTTTTCTTGCTTTTCATGTGCTCTGACCCTTGAGCCTCCTTAGAGCATCTCCAATGCAAGGGTGCATTGGAGTTCCATGTCAGCAAATGCACATTTTGTTGTAAAATGTACTCTCCAATGTCAATGCCAATGGACCTTCAAAATCTGAGTTGGCAAGGGAGAAGGTCCAGCACCAGGTCCACAAATAGACCTTCGGTGCCACCTTCTGACATTCCAGCTAAGCAAGCAACGCAGGTATGTAGCTTTCCCTTCTTCTTTTATTAATATTTCATTTATTTTTTTTTATTTTTCCCTTTCTGCATTGGAGTACACTCCAAATAGACTTTCTCTATTTGTTCTAGACCCACTGCATTGGAGATGCTCTTATACTTGGTGATCATGCTCATAACAGTAGCTATTACCCGGGCCGGCCCCTGCCATTCTTCTTTCCAAATCAAAGAATTACGCCTCTTCCATAAACCCATAATAGAACAACAAATTTGCTCTTTTGGTCATTATCTTTGATTTTTCAATTAATAAATAATGCAAAATTTCGACACATGATGTTTCTTTTTAAAAATATTATCGTAACAGTATAAGATTTATAATCATTTTAAAAATATATTAGTTAAAATGTTTGATTAAATTTACCACCATTGTCAATAAGAACTAAGCTAATTAAAAACGGATGGATAGCATGTTACACTGTATATGTAACTATTAAGAAATAAATCAAATAATAATTGATACGGAGTACTAATTATTTCATCCGTGCAACCAGTTAATTTCCATGTTCCGTAAGAATTAGACAACCAATTATTGTTGAGTTTTTTTATACATGCTTATGAACAAAAATATAGTAAATGGTCCTTTTATAAAATATTAATCATTATTGAATAAAAATAAAAATAAAACTAGCTAATAGATAGGAAGAAAACTGAATCCCTTTTGTTGGAATATGAATCCTTTTTTTATTATACTTAAAATGAGGATATCAAATGTTTTTTAGTGTAGGATATCAAATGTTGAAAAAGTCAAAAACTATTCAGTACTAATTCCAATCAACAAAAATTTGCAATTAAAATCATAGATTTTGATGTGTGAGGATAAACAAGCTTTTATATCTTCCAATCATTATCTAATTAAGGTCTTGTAACTTTCTTATTTGAAACTTTCCTATTTGAAAGTGTTACAATACTACCGTCCAACAATAAGGTACCTGACACCAACATAGTAACTTCTTAAATACATATTTTGTAAATGTTTGATCTTGAATTGAGGTCAGAAAAACTTATTTTACATTTGGTCTAATTTGTTTTTTGGAGTAAAACAAATCCAAGTGAAAACATATTTGAAAATAGAATTATTAGTTTTTAAATAAAAACTAATAGAATTACTAGTTGATTAATGATAGCTTGATAGGATCAGCATTTTGTTTAGTACAAAATGAAATACTCCGTAATTCTTAAGATTATCCCTTATTTTTAGGCATTGGGATTTGGGAACGTGTTTTAGGTAGTGACATGTAACGACTATTCTGAAAATCCTCATCTCAACTTCGCAGACTCCGCCTTGTTGTTATTTGTAAGACCTTTCTTGTAATTTTTTAAGTAATTAATAAACAATACTCGTACTACGTAATAACTTAAATAAAATAAAAACCTAGAAGGTGCCGTTTTGACTTTCTAGTTTCTATGCTCAAATGCTCAACAAACTAATATAAAAAGCTACTCATGAAACATGCATTTTCGGTGATTTGGCCGGTCAAGTAATTAAAGTTGGCCAAATCAAAGGTATTTACCAAATACAGTCAACATCTCAATGCAAAAACCATGAAAAATAAAATTGCTTTAAGAAAAAATATTTACTCTGAAAAGAGGAAATCATATATATTGAGCTCAAGGTCCCACTTAAAAAACTTATGTGTGAATTTATGCTTTTATATCTTTGACCAGTGGAATGAGTGAATGACTTACCATACTCAAGTACTCAACAATATAATAACTTAATAAAACAGTCAAGTCTTGCAATTCTGAAATGCGTGTGATACATATTGAAATTAAAGTTGAAATTTTATCCTAAAAGACCAATGTTCTGTGTGTCAATTTGTATATTTATATTTAGCTGGTTTGGGTTTGTTTAACATGCTTTCAAGATGCATACAAATCTTAAAGTCTATACAATTATTATTAAAATTTAACAAGATCAGTTTGTGTTAATTCTCTCTAGTCTGATGACTAAATGGTCAATCAAATACGAACCATTTAGAACTATGTACATCCTCCCCATCTCATTCTAAAATTTGTTACACTTCACCTTTTTCATTATCATACTTTTCAATCTTTGCTCCTACTTTTCTATACTTTTGTTACCCCTACTATTTTACCATTAAACTTTGTATTAAAAAAAATGCAATAAACAAAAGAGTATGGGAGTATGACAATTTGTATTTTTAATATTTAGTCAATGTGGGATTGCTTGGCATAATGCCATAATGTACAAGAATTCAAAATAAAGAAGAAAAATAGCTTTATCAAGAAAAAATATGCTCAGCGACTCAGCGTGCTTTCAATGGGAGTTTGAGAGGAAAGAAACTAGGAGGAATACAAATCCCAAAGACATTCTGGAGTTTGGGGGAGGAGAAAAAGAGAGGAATATTTCGAAAACTTTTTATCTCCTTAGCTACGGTAATTGGGCAGGAATAGAAAGGAAATAAACAATAATTCAGTTATTGCTTGTCTTTTACTCCGTAAGTTTTAACCTTTTTTTTATCGTATTGAAAACTTTAATTCCCCTTTTTTCTTCTAGTTCTATGAAAGTATGAAACCATTTATATTCCTCTTTTATCTCTCCCCTGCTTTTTCTCTTCTACCTCCTCTCATACTTCTCCTTTTTCCAAAACATGACTTCAAATCCAAACACTGGAAATTTATGTGAGAAAACCAGGAAAAAAGGAAGCAAATGGAACCAAAATCAATAATGTTACCCATGTAAGACCAAAAAAACAACCAAAATTGTTGCAGAACCTACACCCTTGTTTTGTTCAAGTGGGGAGGGAGTATATAGAAAGAAGGGTTGGACAAATAAGGGGTAAATCAAGAAGAATAAGGACCACATCTACCTGATTAAACATGAATTAATCATGTACATCAGTCACTGGCATGAACTTCACCAGCACCATACTCTCACAAGCACTACAGAGTAATAAAGACACGATAAAGTATAAGTTTGAACATAAGCACACAGCCAATAAGCTTTACCGGGCACAAATGGCCACAAACAGTCCTGCATACACTACTGAAATGCTGTTCTTTGACAAAGTAGAAGGCATCAAGCATCTCATCAGGTAATGATTTCTCTGACCAGCCAATCCAAGCTCGGATATGCAAAGTACAAGATTAGAACGGATGGAAGAGCAAACAAAACGGTGATAAGCATATACAAAGCCAATATTGCTGCACTGGCGGGTATAGCATACAAGAGGATCAGAAGGAATATAATCACCAGGGGGAACTTGGCTGTCAGATGAACAAAGAAGATAAGTGATTTCCTAATCGATGATTGTAGTCTCTCAAGAGCAAGGAAACCATCAAAATGACTGTTAGGAATCTGCTTATTGAGTATTTTAATAGGGTATTTGAAAGAAGAAATAAAATGGGCCGAGGTCAATTAAGTGGGCTGGGGTCATTATATGTTAGTCCCTGCGTGGACCTACTACTATAAATAGTAAGTTGGGTAGCTAATAATAGGTAGACTGTTATTTTGATTATCCGTTGCCTTGTTGCCTAAGTCCCGGTTGCCTAAGAAGTCCCTGTAGCCTACGGTTTATCTTCTTCATCAATAAACACTATTTCCCTACCATTTATCAGATCTGTGGTAGATAGTTTACTGTATTGCTCAGATTACTGCCAGGTGCCTAACATTGGTATCAGAGCATCACTGCTCCTGGGGATCCGATTGAAGTGTCACTTATCATCCATCGACTACCCTGGAGCTATGGAAGAAGCCTGGACACCAGAAATGGAGGCTCGCTTGGATAAGCTCAAACTGGAGATGAAGACGGCTATGGCCACCCTCGCGACAGCGATGAAGGACCAGATCCATATCAGCATCGCCACTGCGATAGCAGCGATAAAGGAACAGAATCCGTCCAGGGGGAAATCACGATCACAACTTCATCGTCACTCTCGATCATCGCATAGTCCGACGCGGGCCACTACTTCGATTCCATCATCGCCACCTGTTTCTCCCAGTCCGCAGTCGTCCATTCCTTCTACTCGCTCGCAGATATCATATCAATCGCTAGCATCGTCTTCCACTTCGCCAGTCGATTCTCACCCTTTGCCTTCCTCGGCATCGCAAACTCTGACGCAAGTTGTTTCTCAGAGTTCTCAGATTTTGTCGCAATCCGATCTCCAGTGCTTGCAGGTATCACCGCACACCTCTTCTCACTCTGCTCAAGCTTCATCGCCCAAAATGAAGTTGAGGCCAACGGAACCAGGTCTGGATGATGATGACTCAAACTGCAGGATATCTGTCAAATCATCACAGCCTACGAAGGATAAAAATGGAACTAGTCCGGTAAAAGTGAAAGAGCAATTGCCATTGCAACTGGAGGATCAGGTAAATAGCACAGATAAAATAGGAAGGAGGATTCGAGCACTTGAATGGAAATCCGACAGTGCTGTGATGAATTATGGGCCTGATGTGTTTGTATCTACAACCAGGCTCAATCCTATAATGGATCAGTCACAACTTTTTCTAGTGGGGACAGGAATCAGTGCATTCTCACCTGAAATTGTGTTGTTGAAAGCAGGGCAAGTTGTTCTTGGAGTTCCTAATGGTGAAAGTTCTAAGGACTTGACTGCCAGTATGCCTCGATTGGAATTGCACACTGATGAAGAAGAGAAAGTTTCTGTGGTAACTCACTCCTCGATTGCTATGGATTATGAATCTGCCATTCATAAACTTGTTGGTCCAAATACTTTAGAAAGCTCTACAGGGACTGTGTGTATAGATGGCTTTAGCAAAATTTTTGGGGCTACTGTAGGACATATTTGGAAGAAAATTTGTGTAGAAGACATTGCCACAAGGGTTGATAAGCAGTTTGTGTATGCATCAGTTAAGGTAATCAGCATGGATGTGCCCCCTCCTGTGATGGCAAATGTGTGTCAAGCACTTTCACAGTTCTTAACTGATACAGACTCTGGGGTCAACTGGCCACATATCAAGGACTTAATTTTGTCACTCATCAACCACACTATGCATAGGGTTTTTGAGATACCACAGGCTACTTTCGGGGCAGATCCCTTTGGCAGCATGGAAGCTCTCGAATTTTTAGAGCAGCATAAAGAAATAATACTCCAAAGTGATGTTCCAACCTGCAGACACCTGCCACCAACACCACTTGACCTGATCCAAGCTGCACTGCTAGTTCATCAGCAACTAATCCATATGAAAGAAGAAGAGATGATGAAAGTAAAAGAAATGAAGCTCCTAGATCAGAAACCAAGGAGGTACTGGGAAGGAAGAGGTTCCAGGATAAAGAGGAAGTTCAAGATCAAGGCTGTGTCTTATTACCCACCTTGAGGGCAAGGTGGTTAATTAGGGGGGGAGTAATGTTAGGAATCTGCTTATTGAGTATTTTAATAGGGTATTTGAAAGAAGAAATAAAATGGGCCGAGGTCAATTAAGTGGGCTGGGGTCATTATATGTTAGTCCCTGCGTGGACCTACTACTATAAATAGTAAGTTGGGTAGCTAATAATAGGTAGACTGTTATTTTGATTATCCGTTGCCTTGTTGCCTAAGTCCCGGTTGCCTAAGAAGTCCCTGTAGCCTACGGTTTATCTTCTTCATCAATAAACACTATTTCCCTACCATTTATCAGATCTGTGGTAGATAGTTTACTGTATTGCTCAGATTACTGCCAGGTGCCTAACAATGACTTTGATCATGGCTTGATCCTGTCGATTCTGAGATGTGAGTGTGTGGGGCATTCCGGGAAATAGGCTCCATAGCAGAATTCCCTGATGATATCCTCCTACTAGATGGCCAGGCTGGCTGATTATCATCACAGGAGGTAGAACGGGACACTCTCCTATCACCGTTCATGCTCTCAAGCATCCACAGAAGAAAAAAGTTCTTTCGAGGGAACTTCAGGTTTCCCCTATAAACTAAACGCAAGGATAACAGATTGCACCACGGACATGCTATGAAGAGTGGGAGTTGGATGGGTAAAGAAGGACACTTCACAACAGCCCATTGTAATCCGAGGATGCAGTTTTTACAGAGTGTATGGCCACACCATAAAACATAGGGGATATTTTCAACGATGTTGAAGGATTCACAGCATATTGGGCACTCCAGTCCCTCATCTCTACTTGTGATCGATGAACCTTCATCATCTTCAGAGCAATCTGCATCCTCATTGGGCTTCCGAAGATCTTCCCTCGACCTTGTATTCCCAGCTGTACAGTTGGATGCAAAGTTCCACATCGTCCGCCAAAGTACTTTTTCCTAGAAAGAACACCGAAAAATGAAGTCATATGAAAAAATGATTAGTATTCCCAGTTGAAAAACTCCACACCATCCATCAAAGTATTTTTCTAGAAAGGACACTGAAAATACAGTTATATGAAAAAAAATGGGAATAGTTGGAGGGTTTAAAAAACACAAGGTGGTAAACAACCGTGAACTGAAACAGATGCAATTCTTCTCGCTTCATGTGTACGGATAACATGTAATAGAATGGAGATCCATCAGAACCTATCAAGGGCAGTGCTGTATAATAGCTACCTTCCTATTGAATATAAAATATATATGGAGTATGTGAGCTAACAAAGTATGAATCATGCAACTACCACACAGCATGGCTACGAGCTGCAAACACACAAAGTCAATATCTAAATCCAATCCATAAGCAATCTGGCTTTTTCCTAGGAGAAAATCTTAAGCTACCTGGTTTTAGTTTCAAAAATCGAAATGTAAGGTATATCAAATGCCTCGTGGTCGTCAACGGCAGAGCTAAAATCAGCCTAAAAATACATACATCATCGGCAAAAAGGGGAAAACATAAGAAATTAACGCTGACGCTCATCTGATCGAGCACGTTAGTGCCGTAAATTCATTTTTTCGCAATCGATCTACTGAATCGATAATAGAAGGTTCAGACCGTCGAATTGAGATTTCCTAACCTGATTGATTCTGCAGGCGCGTGGGCGGGCGTTTGAGGGTGAGGGCAGGAAGGTTTGCACTTCTGCAATGCCAGAACGTGAACAGATCTGTGCGGTGCAGATAGCCTGGGTCAGCCCACGCTACATTTCGGTCTGAGATCTTGAACCATTGAACCACGAACACCTTGTGGGGCACTGGTAAACGAGAAACAGACCTTGTTCTGTTGTCCAGCTTAAGAAACAACGATTAAACAGTTATTCTTAGAGGACCTGGTTTATTCTTACAATCTTTCTCCGTACTTGGGTGAAAACTATTTTTTCCTAAAATGAGAATTGCCCAAGGCTAAAACTATGCACATTCTGCTTCATGGCAATTCATTTACAAAGAAGTTATTGCATTTCGCGTGTAAAAAAAATGTAACTCACGTTGATAAGAAATGTAACTGTACCCAAGTCAAAATGTAAATTGCCTAATACAGAGTATAAGAGAAACATTGATTTCAATGTAAACAATGAAAACGAAGAGTCTAATAGCTCAACTACTTTACATAAATATTAAATAGTTAATATGTTTTGTTTTTAATATGAAGGCTATAAATTTTTTTTTTTAAAAAATCATTCTTTTTGCCAAAAAAAATGTTTTTTCAATAGGAGGAGTTTATTTTGCAAGATGTAAGTAGTTGAGACAAGTCCAAATCTGACTCGCCATTGGAACTCATCTCCTTTTAAGGGAGCTCATCACCCAAGAACTCCAAAGTTAAGCGTGCTTGAATATGAGTAGTCTTGGGGTGGGTGACCCCCTGAGAAGTTTCTCAGGGCGCGCATGAGTGAGGACAAAGTGCGCGGTAAAGGCTCGTGGTGGTTTGTGAGGACAGTACTAGAGGTCTGTAGTAACTACCTCCGGTCCTGCGGGGCCGGGGTGTTACACCTTTCGACCATGCACAACGGTGACTCAACCCGCGCCTCATCTCCCAAAACTTCGTCCAAGTCCACCCCTTCCTCTTCCTCATCATTTAGATTCATCCGTGTATATATTTCCTCCATACCCTCCGCCATGGCGACAGCAGAATCAGATGGCAAACTTTCCACGTGAACAGTGAAAGTAGCGGCAAAACTGCAAAACCCAAGACGACTAGGGAGAGATCATTGATTGTTCTTATTTAGGCTTTGTTTGCAACCACTTGTGCTTAAATAAAAGCACTTTTTGGGAAAAAATGATTAGTAGTAAAAGTTGGTAGTGTTTGGTAAAATAAGTGTTTTTTGTGTAATAGAAAATGGTAAAAAGTATATTTTACACGGAAGCTGAAAAAATAAAAGTTGATAGTGTTTGGTAAAATAAGTGCTTTTTTCTTTGAAAAAAGCCAAAAACACTTTTCTTAGGGTGTGTTTGCGATTACTTTTACTTTAAAAAAGTGATTTTTTAAGTGATTTTGGAGAAAGTACTTAATAGTAAAAGTTGATAGTGTTTGAGAAAAAAGTGATTCTGAAAAAGTAAAAATTGGTAGTGTTTGGTAAAATAAGTGCTTTTTGTGTAATAGGAAAAGTGAAAAGCAGTTTAAAGCATCCTTCCACCTACTTCCAGCTTTTAACTTTTAAGTGATTAATTTAAGCAGAAGTTGTCATTTGAAAACACTCCTTTCAACTTTTTTTAAGCAAAAAGCTCAAAAGCACTTTTATTAAGCAATGGAAAACACTCCTTTAGTTGATTGCAAACAAGCCCTTACTTAGTTTTGCTCGTATGCACTCTTAGAAAGTGAAAAATAACTTTAACCACAAAAAGTGTTACTTTGTATAGAAAAAAATATTAGCAAAGTTTTACGGGGTAATTATTATTGAAAATCAGTTGTTGAGTAAAATAAAAAAGAATATATTCATATAATTCTACTATATCTATCAATTAGCAAATAGGCATTTTTTAAAAAATTATTCAATCGAACTGAATCCACCCAAATGGAATATGATTTTGCTAAATGCAATATAAAAATCATAAATTGAACTTATTTGAACAAGACGTTAATTGTACAACAATAAACAATAATATATATTTTATAACAACACATTTAAAAGGGTATAAATAGGTGAATGCTATGATACCACAATAATGTGGCAAGTAATTAGCACAGTTTTACGGGGAAGTAATTATTATTGAAAATTAGCTGCTAAATAAAATAAAAATGAATGTATTCATATAATTCTACTATATCTACCAATTAGCAAATAAGTAAATTTTCAAAAACTATTCAACCGTACTGAATTCATACAAATGGAATATGATTTTACTAAATGCATTTTAACGTTCATAAATTGAACTTATTATAACTAGACATTAATTGTACAACAATAAACAATAATATTTATAACAACATATTTGAAAAAGTATATATAGGTGAGTGTTGTGATACCTTATTAATGCGTTAGGATAACATATTTACGTGTGGTTCCTCTCATTATTTACCGTTTATTTATGCGTAATTTACCCAATGGGTTATCGTTTTTATTTTCTTACAACAATTTGTGCAAAACTTTGATAGTGTAATTATTAAGATTATTTTTTAAAGTAAAAATGTTATAATCCACATAAACATATAGGGATGGAATTATGTTTATTTGATGACTTATAGTAATTAGTGTATTTCTAACAATTATCATACATATTGTAAAAACAATAACCAGACATGTATTATAATACTTCGCATAATTCTATATCATGATTTGTATTTTATACGATAAGTATATATATAGACATTGATAATGCATTAATTATTTTCAAAAATAAACTAATTTCATACTCCCTCTCTATTTTTTTGTTTGTTACAATAGGTGTTGGCAAATTTTTGTAAGAGTGAAATAGTAGAGGTAATGAATCGTGTAGAAAAAGTAGGAGAGATGGTGGAAGAGTATGAAAAAGAAGATAAAAATAGAAAAAGTAAGGGTAGTTGAGTGTTTTTAAAGGAAAAATTTACCAAAAAGGGAAAGTGTAGCAAATTTTTGAATATATCCAAAAAAAGAAAGTGTAGCAAACAAAAAAATACGGAGAAGTATGTTATGTGTGCAACGTACGAGTTGGCTGACTAGTAAAATTTAAACCCAATAGAGTCTGACCGTTCAAGTTGGGTCCAAGTCTAAAGCCGCCCATTGAGAGGCTATGTGCATGTTTAATTTGATAGGCATAAATCCTTACGTTCTAGCGTCAGTACTATGTCTATTATTTAAAAAGTTCTTAAAAGCTTCTAGTTATATATTTGACGCGATAATTTTTAAAAGTTTTTGTTAAAATAAAAGATCTTTTTTTGAGAAGTTACACTGAATAGTGATTCCAACCATTTTGGGAGGTCTCGCTCAGCTGATCGCCGACTCACTCTGTTTATGTGAGGTCCCAAATTCAATACTCAATGAAATCAGTTTGATCCCAAGATCCCAATTTATCCCAGCCCTCAGTCCTTCTCTACCCGACCCCCAAAGTAAAAATTTATCCCAATTTATCCAAATACCTTTTTTCTTTTAAAATATTTTCAGTTATTAAAAACTTAAGTTACTGAAAAGATAAAAAATGTACTATCGCATTTCTTTAAATGTGACAAATATATCAAGACTACTCACTCTCTTAGGACATGTTTACTTCACCGGTTATTAAACGGTGCTTATTAAGACACGTGTTAATAAGCGGCGCATAAAATAAACAATGTTGTAAGACCGTGTTTACTTCAAACGGTTTAAAACACCGCTTAACAATAAAATGTCCAAAATAACCCTATACATATATATACACACAAACATTCATGAACACAAGTATATAATATAATATGTGTACCCATACCCCTAACCCCTTACCCACCCTACCTTACCCCGACCCCACCCACCAGCTACCCCTACCCCCTACCCCTACCCTACCTACCTGACCCCACCCTACATACCCGACCCTACCCCTACCCGACCCCACCCTAACCTGTCCCCACCCTACCGCAACCCTACCCCCGACCCCATAGGCCCCTACCCCCATAGGCCCTTACCACATCGACCCCACCTTACCCCAACCCCGCCCCTACCCCTACCCTACCCAACCCACCCCTACCCCTACCCCACCACACCTACCCTGCCCCTAGCGCCTCTATCACATCGGCCCCACCCTGACCCCACCCCACCCTAGGTATAGTGGGGTAAGGGGTATAGGGTGGGGTGATTGAGGTCAGGTAGGGGGTCGGGTAGGTAGGGTAGGGGGTGGGGTTGGGTAGGTAGGGTAGTGGTAGGGTGGGTTCGGGTAGGTAGGGTGGGGGTTGAGGCGGGGTAGGGGTAGGGTAGGGGTAGGGTCGGGTATGTGGGTAAGGGGTGGGGTAGGTGTGTGGTCGGGTAAGTAGGGTAGGGGTGGGATTAGGTAGGTAGGGTAGTGGTAGGGGTGGGGTCGGGTAGGGGTAGGATGGGGTTGGGTTGGGTCAGGGTAGGGGTAGGGGTAAGGTGGGGTCGGGTAGGGGTAGGGTAGGTGGGGTAGGGTAGGTGGGGTAAGGGTAGGGGTGGGGTCGGGGTAAGGGTAGTGTAGGTGGGGTAAGGGTAGGGTGGGGGTCAGTTAGGTAGGGTAGGGGGTGTCTGGTAATGGGGTAGGGTAGGGGTAAGGTGGGGTACGTGTAGGGTGGGGTCGGACAGGTAAGGTAGGGTAGGTGGGGTAAGGGTAGGGGTGGGGTCGGGGTAAGGGTAGGGTGGGGGGGTCGGTTAGGTAGGGTAGGGGTGGGGTAGGTAGGGTGGGGTCGAGGCGGGATAGGGTGGGGGTCGGTTAGGTAAGGGTAGGGTGGGGTCGGGGTAGGGGTAGGGTGGGGGTCAGTTAGGTAAGGGTAGGGTGGGGTGGGGTCGGGGGTAGGGTGGGGTCAGGGTAGGTGGGGTAAGGGTAGGGTGGGGTCGGGGTAGGTGGGGTAAGGGTAGGGTCGGGGGGTAGGGTGGGGTAAGGGTAGGGTGGGGTCGGGGTAGGTGGGGTTGGGGTCGAGGTGGGGCACGGATAACAGTAGGTTAAGGGCAAGGGGTAAATTCGGAAACTGAAAAAGCTTAAAGTGCCGCTTAATTAATACATGGGGGTGGTATGCTTAATAAGCGGCACTTTAAGCACGTCTTTCGGTTAGTAAGCGGCTTTTTAAGCAGTGTGCGTGTTTACTTCACCTGTCTTACTAACCTAACTGTGACTTTAGCAGTGAAGTAAACACTTCATTAGATTGTTACGAAGGAATAGGAAACCTTTTTTTTAAACTTTTCTTTTATTCACTTGAGCCCTTTTGATAAGTTTT